TTGGAAGGCCTAGGTGGGAGGATGGCTTGAGCCCAGGAGTTTGACACTAACTTGGGCAACATAGTGACATCCTGCCTCTACAAAAAATAAAAATGAAAAATAAAATAAAATAAAAAACAGCAAGAAGGTCAATGTAGCTAAGAGCCAGAATAAGAAGAGGAGATATAGGCAAGGATGAGATCGTTTTTGGTTTTTTAGGTCACGGTAAGAACTTCAGGCTTTATTTTTTGGGTGATGGGCCATCATCAGATGCCATTGAGCAGGGAACAGAGACATTAAGATGATTTAGGTATGAAACCAATCACTCTGGCTGCACTGTGGGGGCCAAGAATGGAAGTTTTAGTAGGAAGCCAATCAGGCTTTAAAAACAGTTCAGGTAAGAGATGATAGTGACTTGAATAGGGTATAGTAGCTACCAAGAAGGTTGAAAATGGCTGGATGTGGAATCTATTTTATTTCTTTATGAGACAGCATTTCACTCTGTTGCCCAGGCTGGAGTGCAGTGGCACGATCACAGCTCACTGAAGCCTTGACCTTCCTTCCACCTCAGCCTTCCAAGTAGCTGAAACTACAGGCATGTGCCACCACACTCAGCTAATTTTTTGACTTATTGTAGAGATGAGGTCTTATCAAGTTGCCCTGGCTGGTCTCAAACTCATGAGCTCAGGCAATCCTCAGGGTGATCCTTCCGCCTCAACCTCTACAAAATGGGTAGTAAATGGGACTACATGGTGCATGCCACCACACCTGGCTATTTAAAAAATTTTTTATAGAGATAAGATCTTGATATGTTGCCCAGGCTGGTCTTGAATTCCTGGGCTCAAGCAATCCTCCTGTCTCAGCCTTCCAAATCCTGGGATTACAGGTGTGAGCCACTATGCCCAGTCTAGAGTCTAATTTAAAGGTACAGTCAACAGAATTTGCAGAATCAAAAGTGATTTCAAAGATTTTGGTCCAAGCAACTAAGCAATTGATGGCATCATTTACTGATATGGGGAGGTCTGAAGTAGGTTTAGGAAGGGAAATACAGATTTTGCTCTGGACATTAAAAATTGGTTGGACATGGTGGCTGAAGCCTGTAGTCCCAGCACTTTGGGAGGTCGAGGTGAGGGGACTGCCTGAGCCCACGGGCTCAAGAACAGTGTGAGGAACTTGGCAAGACCTCATCTCTACAATAAATAAAAAAATTAGCTGGGCATGGTAGCGGGTGCCTGTAGTTCCAGCTACTTGGAAGGCTGAAGGAGAAGGATGGTCTGAGCCCAGCAGGTTGAGGCTGCAGTGGCGGTGAGCATGCCACTGTACTCCAGCCTGGGCAACAGTGAGACTCCAACTCAAAAAAAAAAAAAAAAAAAAAAAACCAAAAAAAACCGGATACTTAATTTTCTCCCCTAATTAATAGCAGCTACCTCCTGTACCTTCCTGTACTCCAGATAGTTCTTGGGCCACTCAGAGGCTTACTCAGACAAACAGGAGGTGCTCAATTGTTATTCCTCCAAAACCCGGAGGATTCCTACCTTTTTTTAGCTATCAGAACCTTGATCATATGGATTTGAAATCAATCAGCCATTGATTAACTGGGTGTATCCTTGTTTAGAAGTGGCCTGAAGTAGCTGGCTGGTCTGTGGTCTCACTCCTTTTTAGGTCCCTACATTAAGACCAGTACTAGTTCCAGAGATCAGACAAGGAGTCAAATTCCATGAGAATTGAGAAAAATAAAAGTAGCCGGGCTCGGGGGCTCAGCCCGTAATCCTGCGCCTTTGGGAGGTTGAAGTGAGTGGACTGCCTGAACCCGTGGGTTTGAGACCCAACTGGGCAACTTGGAGAGACCTCATCTCTACAATAAATCAAAAAATTAGCCAGGCGTGGTAGCGTGCGCCTGTAGTTCCAGCTACTTGGAAGGCAGAGGCAGAAGGATCGCCAGAGCCCAGCGGGTCGAGGCTGTGGTGGCCGGGAGCGGCCACT